TTCTTATCCTCTATCGCATGTCTTTTCCCCTTAAAGTTTAAACCCTAAACCCTAGCTAAACCTTCACTCTTTGTTTGACTGGTGCTAGTCCCCTATCCTTCCTTCCTGCACTCCTCTATGGCAATTTTTGTGAATTTTCAATCACATATATGGGCATGTGTTGCGAGTTCACGACTGACAATGGAAGGATTACGAGGTTCATTCAGCTGCTGTGTGAGAGAGAACGTTGTTATGTTCTTCTTGCAGCAGATGCTTTCCATGGTGCTTGGAGCAATGACCTGCAAATGGTTCTCCACTGTAATAATTCTTGTTGATCTGAAGAGAACATGAGGTCATAGAAGGTGGCAAGATGGGGGCAACTCCTCTATAGCATGTGATAATTGTCAAGGTGGGTGCTCTGACATGGCTGTTGCGAAATTGTGAGACTCCTGCATGGAACTCCATGTAAAGGATTGAATTGTGTCTTTTGTGGATGAGAACCGTAGTTCATTGCACCAAAATTAGAAAACATGACTATAAGTACCAACAGACCTAGCTCAGTTGGTACACCCATGAATAAATACAGACATGGGTTGGAATCGAGAGGGACTAGATGAACTAAATTCTCGAAGAAAAAAAAAAAGAAAACATGACAGTAAGTACCATCCTGTGTTTCTGTACTTGTCGCAGGTTCCAGGGAACAGTTGGGTAAGGTGATTATAAGAGTAGAGACCATTCTTTACTCTAAAGCCCGGACACAAGTGGAGTATGAAAACGCTGATGACCTTGCAGAGAGAACAAGGGATGCAATCAACGTCATTGTCGGTAATGAAGGAGAAGAAGTACCAGACCTGAATGCACCACCAAAGATGATGCCTTGCATTGAAGGTAAGAAAAGTCGCTGCTGCACTTCTTGACTCGTCAATGGTCATTGCAGTAGGCCCAAGCACAGAGCTCCTTTGATGTGAAGTGTGGAATTCTGTGTCTTTTTCTTTCTACACTCTCCTTTTGTCAATCTTTTCTTGTCTTCTAGAAGTCTATGAGGCACCCACTGATTGGCCACACTATGACATGGCAAAGTGAGGCATACCCCGTTCGAGAAAAGAACTGAGGCAGGGAACGTGGGAGTGACAAGAGAAATCACTGGAGAACAGTGATTTTTTTTTTTTTTTTCTATCTTTCTCTTTCCTACCCCCCATTCTTCTCCTTCTTCCCCCCAAAAGATTTCAGACCAATGATTTTAACTGCTTGAAGGGAGAAAATGAAGGAGCTCATTCGATTAAGAAAAACATTAAGATTTCCTGAGCAGGATTGACCTCAGCAGAATGGTAATCGACAAATAGGTTGACACTGTCGATTTTCGTCAGCAGATTTTGGCTGCTGCTCGCTACCTCCTTTCCATGCTACTCACCTGCACAAACCACTCGACACCTCAACTTAAACTCAATGTGCGGCCAGTCATTATCATACATTGCTAAGATTATGACGGACTAAGGCCTTCGATTGGAAGGATCTCACACCTGACCGGAAACTTGATTGGAGGAATCTCACACCTGACTGGAAACTTGACACACTCCCGTAGGCTTGATTGGAAGAATCTCACACCTGACAGGAAACTTCACACGAAACTGAGATTATAGACACCAGAATCCTTGATGAAATGGAGAGAGCCCTGGTCACCGTCCGTTAAACAGACCGAGAAGTGATGCACCATTCAAGGTGCTCTCTCCAGCTATGGCTGTGCCCAACTTCCCTTCCCTGATCGGCTCCTTGCTCCTCCAAACTCAAAAGTTGCTTCCTGACTCATTTCTTCTGTAAAGCCATGCTCACCCGACCTACCGGGCCTACTGCGCACAAAAAATCTCGATCTACTAGTCTGCAACAAACTCAGTTCACATCCACATTGCCGCGGGCATGTGTCGTAACTTTTGGCCAAAAGGCTGAAACAGAGGTCAAAAGTTACGCCCCAAGTCTGTGAAATGCCTGAGAAAGGGCCTAAGGTCAAGGGGTACCAAGGGCTGAGTCAAAAACAGCAGCCAGATGCCCCATATGAGGTAGCTCACTCTTGGACAATCAAGAGTCAGACCAACCACGGGAAAAGCAGGCCCAAAGTCAAAGGGAACCCAGTAGTCAGCCTCGGCCATAGATCAGATGCACATCAATGGCTGTCTGCTGGTATCCGGAAGATTCCAGTCCCGACTGGGAAAAGGTACCGCTGCTTCAAGGCTGCATCCAGGCCGTCGGCATTGAGCAAATCTAAAACGTCGACACCATCCAAGGGGAGACTGGTGCACGCCAGTCAACACTGGTCAACGCTACCAAAGGACAGCCAGACACTGGGGAAGGCATTCTGCCTTGCGCTGGCTTGATCCTAGTGCTGTATCGCGAGGCTGCTGGAGAGGCATGCGGGTGCCAGACACTTCTGGAGGGCGCCAGCGTAGAGGGAGATGATGTACACGCGACCATAGCTGCATACATGTTGTTACATGCTGCGCCAGCAACGAGGGCCATTTTCAGGCCCTGTGTTGTTTTCAGCCTAAAAGCCTGAAAACAAGGGCTTACAGGCCCTGTGTCGTTTTCAGCCTAAAAGCCTGAGAACAAGGGCCTACAGGCCCTGTGTCTTTTCGGCCTGAAAGCCTGAAAACAAGGGCCTCCAGACCCTGTGTCGTTTCAGCCTAAAACAAGGCCCTCCAGGCCCTGAGTCCTTTCAGCCTGAAACGGAGGGCCATTTTCAGGCCCTCATAAGATCGACCTGCCCTGAAACTTAGGTACCAGACCAGGGTCTTAGCACATACCATTTTGGGCCTGTTTTCAAGACAACCTTTGTTTGAGCTTCAATGCCAGGGTCTGGCATGTTTTGGCATTGGCAAGAGCAGCCTCCTGGACGGGCCAGCACTATATAAGACTGGCCCGCCCTGCAGGCTGCAGGTAGTTCATAGGGACTTCCCAGGCACTTCAAGTGCAGTTCAGGAGGCAGGAAGTAGTCTTCAGGATTCGGCAGCAGCACTCTGGAGGATGGCTGCAGTAGTAGTAGTAGCGTTAGCAGTAGTCTTCAGCGCTGGGCGCTATTAGGAGCTAGAGTAGCACTGGAGAGAGATAGAGATTGGGCGGAGGCCAGGGAGGCTTACCTGCAGCGCCATAGCTCCAGCTCGTCGTCGAGGTACCTGCAGCACAGCGCCATCTTCACAGGTTAGTACCTGGCACATGAAAGAGAGAGAGTTCTTCTTCTTCCTCTTCTCAATCCACCATCTCCCTCTCACCCTCTCGCTACCTGACTTCACTGCATCAGCAGACTACGAGAGAGCGGGCTTGGTGACATTTGGATCCAGACTCGACNGAGAGAGCGGGCTTGGTGACATTTGGATCCAGACTCGACATTGGGCTTCAGACATTTGACGAGGGATTATCTGGGACTTGTATCGAAGACTTGGTGTTGACGACATTCCCATCTTCCCCCTTCTTCTTCGTCTGATCCCCTCCTCTTCATCTGCATATGGTCTGGACCTGGCGCATTCTTCCTGTGTGCAGAGCCAGGCCCCTTTATACCTTGCGATGAGGATGATGTATGTTTGGTCTGTATTGTGACATTGATTGGGCTAATGATTGGTATTCTAGCATTCTGCTGCGCTGTCTTGTACTACGTGAGAGAGGTCAGTCCTGGTCAGGTCAGGGCTTATATATAAGTCTTCCCCTGCGCTATAATGTGCTATTTTTGTATGTATCAGGATGTACACTGCTTGTTGAGATTCGACTAGCACTGCATTGTCCATTCAGTCCTTTTTATCACATTGCGGATCCTTGGCTATACATACATTGCCCAACTGGGCATGTAACAGTTGGTATCGGAGCACCGCACCTGAATCAGGACAACCTGATCTGACACATGTGCGGAGACTAAGTAGTTAATTAGTTTTGATTGATTGATTAGAGCATACTAATTAGCCCCCAAAATCGCAATTTTGACCTAACTGCCGAAAATCGATGGTTTTTTATTTTCTTCGATTTTGTTTTCCCGCCATTTCGGTTGTGGAAAATCGCAATAGCGCAACACCTGAGATTTCCGTTTTCATTTCTCTTCTGAAAATTCGAAATTCCGTTGTTGGAAATCCGGAATATCTTTCTTTCGAAAATTTCGATTTCCTGTTGCGATTTCCCGTTATTTGGAAATCCGGAATATTTTTTAATTTCCGAAATTCGTTTTAAAAAGAAAAACGGTACGGGAAATCCCTCTTGCAGTTACCATTTTCCAAACTGCGCGTGCTCCCATCTGAGTAATTCCGAATATTTTTTTATTTTTTTTTGGAATTCTTTTATCGGATAATCATTTGCAGTCTGAAAGTTCGATTTTTTTTCCTCATTAGTAATTTCGCGCTTCAGGGGGAATTGGGAGGCCTATTGAACTTGAAAACAAGTATTTTTTTTCTCTCTCTCGAATTTTTTTTTTGCAAAGTTCAAACTTTTCTTTTTTGATTAGTGGCTCCGTATCTGGGCGATCAACCCACTCCTCCCCACCTATGTTGTTGCCCCCTCTGGTCTTATGTTCTCTATCTGTCTCCGGGTACCCCCCGCGGCGGCATTGGTGAGTTGCCACGTCAGCAGGCCATGTCAGCAGGCCACGTCGGCAGGCCATGTCAGCAGGACACGTCAGCTGACAGCCACGCCACGTCAACAGCCGAGCAGTGCCACGCCAGCAGCAGGGAGTGCCACATCAGCAGTCCTCCGGCCTGGTCCATGCTCACGCGCTTACAAACAGCCGGCATGGATCAGGAGTCCAGGGAAATGGCCGAGGCCTATCAGGCCTGGATGCTGGCTTTGATTACCGAAGCCAAGAAACGGGCGGATGAGGTAGCAGACGCAGAGAAGAAGAAGGCAGAGGATGCTGAGAAGGCACGTCTGTTAGCAATCGAACAGCAGCGCCAACAAGACGAGGCAGCAGCAAAGGCTGCCGATGAAGAACGAAATCAACGATGCAAGAAGATATTCAACGGAGAGCGAGCTTTGCTCACAATGGCAGCGGACTGGCGAGCCGAGGCCGAGAATGGTAAGATGGAGGAGAGTGAAAGCAAAATCGCTCTACTCCTCTCCCATTTCACGGATCTCCTGGCAACGTGCATTGCACAGCAGGAGGACATCCACAGCCTCGACGATGCAGTTCAGATGCACAACCAGGTGGTTGATCAAGTCAACAGCCGCCTCCAACAGCTGGAGCAACGACCCGTCGCCGCCCTCGATGCCAGCTCCTCCAACACCTTCGATCGCCTCAATGCATTGGAGATCGATGTCGGAACCCTCAAGGACGACGCGCAGCTACAGCAAACCGCCACACAAGAACTGGAGCAGCGGATCTGTGCTGCCACCACCAAACCGAGTTCGGCACCGCGCGACTCCAAAGTTCTATGGTCAGGAGATCTTTTACGATTCGACGAAGACGGACCCGATTCCGTGGTTCCGCAAGTTCGAGCTCAAGTTGCAGCTACACCACGTCAGCGAGGACAAGCATCACTCGTACTTATACTCCTGGTCGGGGGGCGCAAGCCAAGCATAGTTGGACAATCTCTTGTCCAAGTACGGGGTGGTAGCTACCGACTTGTACACCAAGATCAGATGGGATGAACTAAAGGCGGCATGGCATAAGCGGTTCCAAGTAGAGATGTCGGAGATCAAGGCAATGGACAAATTGCTGACCTTCGAAGAAGGCATGCTACTGAGTGTTGACTGGATTGCCAAGTACGAACGCTTGACATCCATCCCAGACATTCAGATGGGCTTCAAGGCCGTCAAACACTACTTTATCACGAGGTCGTGTCCGGCGTTGGGCAATGCCTTGACTCAGGACACCCTGACGACAACGGTGAAGCTCTTCGACAAGGCCACAGAGATCATTGTCACGAACAAGGAGGCCAAGAACCTCAACCGTTCGTCTGCGGCAGGCCCGAGCTGAGATCAACATCGGCCGAAAGTGGTCGTGGTCGCGGCAACAACGCCAACCGACCCCTCTAGCGAGGCCGTGCCTGCCAATGAAGGGGACACACTCGCAGCCGCCCGGGATGGTGGCCGCCCCAACAAAGGCCGAGGACGCGACAAGACGAAGACAGACACCGCATCTATCCCCGGGCCCGACGCTGCAGCTCCAGCCCCATGGTCCCACTACGGTCTCTCCGAGCAAGCATACAAGCAACGCATGAGATTCCGCTATTGTCTGTGGTGTAACAGCGATCTCCACGACACAGTGAACCGCCCGTGGAAAGGCAAAGGCAAATCGGGAAATTGAGCACCGCCAGGAGTGAATCGACGACACTCTCGACGTCTTCGGAACCGGTCTATGAGGACTATGCTGCCCTGCTCGTTCCAACGCTGGGTACTCATGCTCAAGGACAAGAGGTGTGTGCGACATCTTTCCTGTCCGACAACGACAACTTACCGTCTTCAAGTGGTTCTTCACGGGATTCGACACGCGAGTTCAACATAGAGGTATTGGACCCGCTCACGTCCGAGGATTTTGCATGGCTTCCTCTCTCAACCACGGGCCATTTGCCAGGACCGCAATGCGCAACATTATGCGCTCATCTTCACACATATCTATCCTTCTATGCACCACCAATTTCGCTGACGGAGGACGAAGCTGCGGTGGGGGACATCCTTGCATATGTTACCAAGGTGGCACGCGAGTTTCGCAAGCAGCGTTACGATGACAACAACGCATCGCTCCTCTATGTCCACATCCAAGTTGGGCAAGCGTCCTGCAGCGCTGTCCTGGATAGCGGCGCGTCTCGCAATTTCATGAGCCAAGCCTTTATGCAAAGGCCTGGCCTTGGCGCACAAAATCGGAGGAAGGCAAACCCAACGGCGATCAAGTTGGGGGACGGAAGGACGCAGCAACTTATAGACCGCTACATCGAGGCCATACCGGTGTATTTCGCACCTCATGCATGCGAACCGGTGACGTTCAACATTTTGGACACGGACTTCGACGTTATTTTGGGAATGCCTTGGCTTGCAAGTGCGGATCACGCGGTCAACTTCCACCAGCGGACTCTTACCGTTCGGGACGCCTTCGGCACCGAAGTGCCGTGTACTATTCCTCTTCCACACCCTTCGATTCGGTGCCAAGTGGTGATGGCCAAGTCATTCTGGGCTACTTGCGCTTACGAGCAGCCCGACAAGATAGGCCTATGCTTCCTATGGACCGTCATGGTAGCCGATTCTTCCCCCATGGACTTGTCTTTGGACCCCCGCTTGGTACGGTTGCTTGACGAGTTCACCAACATCTTCGAGTCACCTACCGGTGTGGTGCAGGATCGGCCGATCTCTCACGAGATCATTCTTGAGGCCGGTGTCGTGCCGCCGAAAGGCTGCATTTACCGCAGCTATGGCAACAGGCCGACCGGATATTTGGTACACTTTGTGTACTGCACCCACAAAGCTGACCGTTGGTTGACCTGTGCGGAACTCCAAGCAACAACTCCAGATATTCTCGCACGCTACGAACGCAAAGTGCAAGGCAAGCTGGTATCTTCGGCTCCACGTCGCACCCGCGTCCAGGTTCCACCTTCAGATCGTCGGCTTCGCCCTCGACCCGGCTTGACTTCATAAGGAGGGGGGGGCTGTTACATGTTGCGCCTGCAACATGCTGCGCCTGAAACGAGGGCCATTTTCAGACCCTGTTTTGTTTTCAGCCTAAAAGCCTGAAAACAAGGGCCTAAAGGCCCTGTGTCGTTTTCAGCCTAAAAGCCTGAAAACACGGCCCTACAGGCCGTGTGTCGTTTCAGCCTGAAAGCCTGAAAACAAGGGCCTACAAACCCTGTGTCGTTTCAGCCTAAAACAGGGCCCTCCAGGCCCTGAGTCCTTTCAGCCTGAAACGGAGGGCCAATTTCAGGCCCTCATAAGATCGACCTGCCCTGAAACTTAGGCACCAGACGAGGGTTTTAGCACAGGACATTTTGGGCCTGTTTTCAAGACAACCTTTGTTTGAGCTTCAACGCCAGGGTCTGGCACATTTTGGCATTGGCAAGAGAAGCCTCCTGGACGGGCCAGCACTATATAAGACTGGCCCGCCCTGCAGGCTGGAGGCAGGAAGTAGTCTTCAGGATTCGGCAGCAGCACTCTGGAGGATGGCTGCAGTAGTAGTAGTAGCGTTAGCAGTAGTCTTCAGCGCTGGGTGCTATTAGGAGCTAGAGTAGCACTGGAGAGAGATAGAGATTGGGCAGAGGCCAGGGAGGCTTACGTGCAGCACCATAGCTCCAGCTCGTCGTTGAGGTACCTGCAGCACAGCGCCATCCTCACAGGTTAGTACCTGGCACATGAGAGAGAGAGAGAGTTCTTCTTCTTCCTCTTCTCAGTCCACCATCTCCCTCTCACCCTCTCGCTACCTGACTTCACTGCATCAGCAGACTACGAGAGAGCGGGCTTGGTGACATTTGGATCCAGACTCGACATTGGGCTTCAGACATTTGACGAGGGATTATCTGGGACTTGTATCGAAGACTTGGTTGACGACATTCCCATCTTCGCCCTTCTTCTTCGTCTGATCCCCTCCTCTTCGTCTGCGTATGGTCTGGACCTGGCACATTCTTCCTGTGTGTTGCGCCAGGCCCCTTTACACCTTGTGATGAGGATGATGTATGTTTGGTCTGTATTGCGACATTGATTGGGCTAATGATTGGTATTCTAGCATTCTGCTGCGCTGTCTTGTACTACGTGAGAGAGGTCAGTCCCGGTCAGGTCAGGGCTTATATCTAAGTCTTCCCCTGCGCTATTATGTGCCATTTTTGTATGTATCAGGATGTACACTGCTTGTTGAGATTCCACTAGCACTGCATTGTCCATTCAGTCCTTTTTATCACATTGCGGATCCTTGGCTTCAAATACATTGCCCAACTGGGCATGTAACACATGTAGACTAGGTGATGATGATTGGCGAGGAGGAGGATCAGGGCTGTGAGACTGACGGGAGGTGAAGGAAAGCTTACCTGGACTTACCTGGCGACGACACGTGGGATCTGTTGCTGGTCTCCACGAAAGTGAGGAAGTGCAGCGCCATCCTCCATACCTTATTGCTGACATGGATGGAGTATGGGCACCATGTAATGATCTGCACAGCAATTATGTCAGAGTACGTCAGAGGGAACATATACCGCTGAGGTGGCAATAGGGGAGAAGCTTGAAGTGGAAGTGGGAGAGAGAGAGAGAGAGACATACATGTACTATTGGTTATCATTGTGACTCTCCCCCTCCTCTTCTCTGTCTTTTATGTCCTCTTTATCTCCTCTTTCTCTCCTCTCATGCTCTTCTTTGATGAGACGATACTCTTGAATTGTGCACATGACCGAGACATGGACATTGATGTTGGAGACTTGAAGAGGCGGACTGGGTTCAGACTTCTGTTGCATTACTGACTGGCTTCTCAACGAGACTGAGTTCATTACAAGTCTGGAAGGTCCAGAATATACGCTTGAGAAACAGAGACTTTATTTACAGGTCTTTTATTCTGATCTCATTGGCGGTAACCAATTGTCGAAACTTACCTCATTTCTGGACAGGTTATGGGTTAGAATCCCGCCTGAGCCCAATACTCCTGCCTTAGTTAAAAGTCCTCTGAGAGCACATGAAGAACTGACGACTGAGAGAACTTGTCCATAGAAACCAATACAAGGTCTCCTCCTATGAACAGCAAGGGTCTGTGATATCTATTGCCTTCTGCAGCCATAGAGTCCTCATGGCCTGTTGCAGTTCATCAACTGCTTGGTGAATTTCAATGTACCACGAGGGCACTACTGCTGCAAGCTGTCAACCAGAAAATCTACTGGCGCCTGCGGCTTCCACCTGAAATGCAGGTCTGTCAGTGTCCTCGCTATGGCAGGGTGGACTGAAGGGTTACACACACCCTCCACCACGACCAACTTGTGATCCCAGTCAATCTGTTCGGGTCTGATCAGATGGCAAAGTACCTGCCAAACTGTGCAATTTATGCGCTTAGTCTGACAGTCACTCCATGGGTGGCTGGCTGGCTCAGCGCTATGGTAGGGTGGACTGAAGCGTTGTACACACCCTCCACTGTGGCCAACTTGTGATCCCAGTTGATCTCTTCAGGCCTAATCAGATGGCACTGCGCATGCTGAACAGTGCAATTTATGCGCTTAGTCTGACGGTCACTCCATGGGTGGCTGGCTGTCTTATCTTCAGTTAAGTACTAGCGAATTCCATCAAATTCCTCCACAGTTCGTTGCTCAAGCGAGTTTCCCTACCACACATAGTAGCAGGTCCCCGCTCGAAAGTGCTGTGCTTCTAGAAGAGTTTGGCTACCTCCTCGGCTGCAGTGTGTCCTCGCATCATCAACACAAGCCTGATGACCTTAGAGAAGTGGTCAACTATGGTGAACAGCAGGTTATCTGCTGCAATGAAGTCAGACAGATGAAAAGCTCATGAATGTTGTGATACAAGTCTGACTCAGCGCAGCAGTAATGTTTCCAGAAGTTGCGTATG